TTTTTTTTTTTTGCCCAAATCGGCGATTAATTGACTTCATCATCCCTAGAGACCCAGTTCGCCTCAGGCCGAATCCATGATCCGTAGCCTACAAGATCCAACCATAATGGTCATTCCAAAAAATCGCTCAAAATCGGTGATGACACCCCTTTAGAATCTGCCAAAAATGGACCCGGAACAAGTACGTACAAATCGGTACTTAATAGACTTAATCATCGGTGGAGGATAGCCTCACGGTGAATCCTTGATCCGTAGCCTTCAAAAAATAACGAAAATGGCCCTGGAAATTTTTTTACCCAAATCGGCTATTGATTAACTTCATCATAGATTTGGGCGTATTTGTTTCGGGTCCATTTGTCGCAGATTTCAAAGGGGTACCATTATCGATTTCGGGCGATTTTTTGGAATGGTCATTTTAGTTGTATTTAGGAGGCTACGAATCACGAATTAGGCCTAAGGCGAACTAAGGATATTCTCCAGCGATGATGAAGTCAATCAATCGCCTCTTGAACAAAAAAAATTCCCGGGCATTTTCATACTTTTTTGCGCTCTTTTTCCGAAAGACCATTTTTCGTGGATTTTGAAGGCTACGGATCTAGGATTCGGCATGAGGCTATCCTTCACCGATGATTATGTCTATTAAGCACCGATTTGGGTGTATTTGTTCTAGGTCCATTTTTAGCAGATTCGAAAGGGGTACCATCACCGATTTCGGCCGATTTTTTGGAATGGCTGATATTTGTTGGATTTTGGAGGCTACGGAGCATAGATTCGTCCTTAGGCGAACTCGGCTATTCTCCTGCGATGATGAAGTCAATTAATCACTGATTTGGGGGGAATTTATTCCAGGTGTATTTTCGTAATTTTTCGTGCACTTTTTTCAAAAGTTCGTTTTCCTTGGATTTTGAAGACTACGGATCAAGGATTTGGCGTGACGTTATCCTCCTCGGACGATTAAGTCTATTAAGCACCTAATTGGTCGTACTTGTTCCGGGTCCATTTTTTGGCAGATTCCAAAGGGGTACCATTACCAATTTCTGGCGATTTTTTGAAATGACCATTTTGGTTGGATTTTGGAGGCTACGGATCACGGATTCGGCCTGAGCCGAAGTGCAGCTATTCTCCATCGATGATGAAGTCAATTAATTGCCGATTTAGCAATAAACAATTTCGGGGGCATTATCGTTGTTTTTCGTTCAATTTTTTCGAAAGGATAATTTCCTTGAATTTTGAAGGCTACGGATCAAGGATTCGGCGTAAGGCTATCCTCCACTGACGATTAAATCTATTAAGCACCGATTTCAGATGATTGTGGACGATTAAATCCTCCATTTTTGGCAAATTCCAAAGAGATACCACCGATTTCGGACGATTTTTTGGAATGACCATTTTGGTTGGATTTTGGAGGCTACGGATCACATATTCGGCCTGAGTCGAACTGGGGCTATTCTCAAGCGATGATGAAGTCAATTAATCGCCGATTTGGGCGAAATTACTTCCGGGGGATTTTTCATAATATTTCGTGCGCTTTTTTCGAAGGCCATTTTCCTTAGATTTTGAAGGCTACGGATCGAGGATTCGCCGTGAGGCTATCCTCCACCTACGATTAAGTCTATTATGCACCGATTTGGGCGTATTTGTTCCGTGTCCATTTTTGGCAGATTCCAAAGCGGTCATCACTGATTTCTACGATTTTTTGGAATGACCATTTTGGTTGGATTTTGGAGGCTACGGATCACAAATTCGGTCTGAGGCGAACTAGGTTTATTCTTTCATCGATGATGAAGTCAATTAATCGCCGATTGTGGCGAAATTTTTTTTGGTGGCATTTTTGTAATTTTTCGTGCGCTTTTTTTTGAAAGACCATTATCCTTGTATTTTCAAGGCTACGGATCAAGGATTCGGCTTGAGGCTATCCTCCACCGACTATAAAGTATATTAAGCACCGATTTGGGCGTATTTGTTCCGAATCCATTTTTGGCAGATTTCAAATGCTTACCATCACCGATTACGGGCGATTTTTTGGAATGGCCATTTTGGTTGGATTTTGGGGGCTACGAATCATGAGTTACGCGTAAGGCGAACTAGGGCTATTCTCCAGCGATGATGAAGTCAATTAATCACGTTTTGGATGAAATTTTTCCGGGTGCATTTTTGTACTTTTTTGTGCACTTTTTTCGAAAGGCCATTTTCTATGGATTTTGAAGGCTACGGATCAAGAATTCGGCATGAGGCTATCCTACATCGACGATTATGTCTATTAAGCACTCATTTGTGCGTATTTGTTCGAGGTCCATTTTTAGCAGACTCCAAAGGTGTACCATCACCGATTTCGGTCGATTTTTTTTGAAAGGTCATTTTGGTTGGATTTTGGAGGTTACGGATCACAGATCGACCTTAGGCGAACTCGGGCTATTCTCCTGTGATGATGAAGTCTATTAATCGCCGGTTTGGGGGAAATTTCTTCTAGGTGCATTTTCGTAGTTTTTCGTGCGCTGTTTTTGAAAGGCCATTTTCTTGGATTTTGAAGACTACTGAACAAGGATTTGACGTGAGGTTATCCTCCACAAACGATTAAGTCTATTTAGCACATATTTGGGCGTATTTGATCCGGACCCATTTTTGGCAGATTCCAAAGGGGTACCATTACAGATTTCTGGCGATTTTTGGAATGGCCATTTGGTTGGATTTTGGAGGCTACGGATCACTGATTCGGCCTGAGCTGAACAGGGTTGTTCTTCATCGATGATGAAGTCAATTAATTGCCGATTTAGTAAAACAAATTCAGGCGGCATTTTCGTTGTTTTTCGTTCAATTTTTTCGAAAGGCCAATTTCCTTGAATTTTGAAGGCTATGGATCAAGGATTCGGCTTGAGGCTATTCTCCACCGACTTGGGCGTATTTGTTCCGTGTCCATTTTTGGGAGATTCCACAGGGGTACCATCACTGATTTCTACGATTTTTTTGGAATGGCCATTTTGGTTGGATTTTGTAGGCTACGGATTCGGGCTGAGACGAACTGGGGCTATTCCCAAGCGATGAAGAAGTCAATTAATCTCCGATTTGGACGAAATTTCTTCCGAGTGCATTTTTCCTAATTTTTTGTGAGATTTTTTTGAATTTTTATTTTCCTTGGATTTTGAAGGCTACGGATCAAGGATTTGGCGTGTCTCTATCGTCCACTGACGATTAAGATTAAGCACCGATTTTGGGGAATTTTTTCGGGTCCATTTTTGGAAGATTCCATAAGGGTACCATCGCCGATTTTGGGCGTTTTTGTTTAACGGCTATTTTGGTTGGATTTTTGAAGATCACGGATTTGGCCTGAGGCGAACTGGGGCTATTCTCCAACGATGATGAAGTCAATTATTCGCCGATTTAGGCGAAATTTTTCTGGGGGCATTTATGTAATTTTTCGTGTTATTTTTTTAAAGACCATTTTCCTTGTATTTTGAAGTCTACGGATCAAGGATTCGGCGTGAGGCTATCCTGCATGAAGATTAATCTATTAAGCACCAATTTGGGTGTATTTGTTCCGGGTCGATTTTTTGCAGATTCCAAAAGGGTACCATCATCGATTTCAGGCGATTTTTTTAGAATGGCCATTTTTATTGGATTTTTTAGGTTACGGATCACGGATTCAGACTGAGGCAAACTGGGGATATTCTCTAGCGATAATGAAGTCAATTGATCGCCGATTTGAGCGAAATTTTTTCCAGGGGCATTTTCGTAGTTTTTTCGTGCGCTTTTTTCCAAAGGACATTTTACTTGGATTTTGAAAACTACGGATCAAGGATTCGGTGTGAGGCTATCCTCCACCGACGATTAAGTCTATTAAGCACCGATTTGGACGTATTTGTTCCGGGTCCATTTTTAGCAAATTCCAAAGGAGGGTACCATTACAGATTTCAGTCGATTTTTTGGAATGACCATTTTGGTTGGATTTTGGAGGCTACGGATCACGGATTAGTCCTGAGCCGAACTGGGCTATTCTCCATCCATGTTGAAGTCAATTAATTGTCGATTTAGCAACAACAACAAAAAATCGGGGCATTTTCTTTGGTTTCGTTCGATTTTTTGGAAAGACCATTTTTCTTGGATTTTGAAGGCTACGGATCAAGGATTCGGCGTGAGGTTATCCTCAATTGACGATAAAGTCTATCAAGCACCGATTTGGGTGTAATTGTTTCGGGTTCATTTTTGGCAGATTCCAAAGGGATACCAATACCGAGTTTGGGCGATATTTTGGAATGGCCATATTGTTTGAATTTTGGAGGCTACGGATCACGGATTCGGTCTGAGGCGAACTAGGGCTATTCTCCATCGATGATGAAGTCAATTAGTCGCCGATTTTGGCGAAATTTTTTCTGGGGGCATTTTTGTAATTTTTCATGCGCTTTTTCTGAAAGGCTATTATCCTTGGATTTTGAAGGCTACCAATCAAGCATTCGGCGTGAGGCTATCCTCCATCGACGATTAATTCTATTAAGCACGATTTGGGCGTATTTGTTCCGGGTCCATTTTTGGCAGATTCCAAAGGGGTAATTACCATATAAGATAAATAAGCGCAAAAATAAGGGCCGAATGGGGGGAATTCTAGGAGGTATTATTTTATTCGTCTTCCTAGTCTTCGACCCAAGAGGGGGTTGTGGAAAATTTATTTTCTTGGGTCGAAAGACTAATGATACCTGATTTTTTTGTTAAAGATTCATATTCTTATCTTAATTATCCTGATATTAATAAAACAACAAAACAGAAAAAAGAAAGTTTATGTTCTTGTAAAAAGAAAAAATAATTATACAAAGAAAAAAATGAATTTAACTAAAAAAAGGAATCGTAATCAAAAATGTTTGGCTTTTTTGAGAACTTTTTGAATTACTACATTAAATTTTGACTCAAAAAGTTCTCACCAGTTTGTTTGAGGCTTCTTCTATTTCGATTATTTCTATTTCGAATATGTTGTTCTATGGGTGGATTTGGCAGAGCACCCTTTCTTCAATTCAATTAGATGTTAATGTAAATGAACCATAACTATGAAGTCCTATTCCTAATAAATTAACCCCAAAATAACATATCCAAATTAGAAAAAAGCCAATAGAAGCGATAATTGCGGAATTTAAACCTTCCCCATTTTTATTTACTCGGATATGGAAATAAATCGCGAATATGGTCCAAGTAATAAAGGGAGCGGATATGGTGACAACACCATATTTGTTGTTATTGTAACAACACTAGTCTTCAACCAATAGGAAGCTAGGGTTGTGATGACTTTTTATTAGCTTAGTTGACCTAGTGTAAAATAAAAACAGGGGTATAATTGTCATTATTAAAAAATTTGTTTAAATAATAAATAATAAAAAAAATAAAAAAATAAAAAATATTTTTTATTTTCTACCCAAAATTTTGGTCGCCGGAATTATGTCACGGGTCACCGGAAAATGGTCGCCAGTCACCGGAATATGCCAGTTTCCCATCGGAATATGCCACCGTCGCCGGAATATGCTTACCGGCGTCGGATTATGCTTACCGGGGTCGAAATCTAGTCATTGGGGCCGGAATATGCCTATCGGCGTCGGAATCTGCTCACTGACGGTCATCGGAGTTCGGTCAATGAACTTCGTTGACCGGTCAACGGTCAACGACCACCGGATGTTATGGTCTTCATTGTGAGATTTATGGTTTGGTTTCTCACATTTTTGTATGCCTTTTGTTGGTTGCTTTATCGCGTTTGTGGTTTGCATTGAGAATTTTCTGGTTTGCTTTATCATGTTTGTGGTTTGCATTGAGAAGTTTCTGGTTTGTTTTCAAAAACTTTGTGGTTTGCATTGTGAGGTTTTTGGTTTGTTTTAATATATTTGTGGTTTGCATTAGGACGTTTATGGTTTGCTTTTTTGTGGTTTGATTTACTGTGTTTGTGGTTTGCATAGGAGGTTTCTGGTATGCTTTCGCAAATGTTGTGGTTTGCTTTGTGGGGGTTGTGGTTTGTTTTAGAGGATTTGTGGTCTCCATTAAGAGATTTCTGGTTTGCATTAAGAAGTTTCTGGTGTGCTTTCGAAACTTTTGTGGTTTGCTTTGCGAGGTTTCTGGTTTGTTTTAATATATTTGTGGTCTGCAGTAGGACATTTTTGGTTTGTTTTACCGTGTTTGTAGTTTGCATTAGGGGGTTTCTGGTGTGCTCGCAAAGCAACAACAATATAAGATATTTGTTACTGGAACATATACAAAGATTTGTACGTAACAAAGTCATATTCCTATATTTACTAACTAAAACAACAAGCACATTAATGGCAACATCTATGGTGCCGTACCTGCACGGGTGCCGGCATATATGCAGCCGTCAGATGTTCTACTTTAAATCACAGCCTTAGATTTAAAACCACTACTTAACCAAAACCGGCTTAACCTATTGGCTCTTTTCTTAACCAATTTCTTCAAGGTAGTTAGTTTTTATTTATTACTTTTTTTGCCGGGAATACCAAAGAAAACTGAAGATTGATTTCCGTAAGACCGTATCTATAGAAAAAATCCATACAAATTTCACATATGATTATTATCTTCTTCGATTTGTTTATTAATGAATATTCTATAATAGTTTGAGTATGAAAATATGAAAAAAACAATAAATTATAGTATATATGAGTTGAATCTATAACATGATAGTTATTAACGAATATATTTTATATTTCACTTCATTGAATATGTTGTTGTAGTATTATCATGAATGTAATTATAAACGTGTAGCTCTTATCTCCAATTTTTACAAAGTATAAAATTAAATTCACGAACTATGTCTATCTCCACTGTTATTATCATTGTGTTAAAAATGATGAATTACTTTATGGATTAAAAGAAATTGATGAATTAGTTGATTTGATGGTGGAGACAAAATTAAATATATCATATCAAAAGGTCTATTTGCTCCTCAAAGTTGTATTAATTTTATTGGTAGCAACTCCAAATCTTGGTGATGGCAGGCTAGCTAGCCGCAACGGTTGTGATGGTGATGGTGATTTGCAGCACCGAAAGAAAGAGTTGGGATTTATGATATTCAGGGGGGAGGAAGAAGGCGGGGTGACAGGCTGACTGCAATCACTGGCGGATACATGCACCGGGACACTCCTAAATTTTGGAAACACGATTATTCAAACTGCGATAGTAATTTGCGTATGAGAAAAAAATGTTTAAATGGTAGTGGGACACCTTTAAAATTTGGGGAAATGATTATCCAATCTCCCGTAGTAGTTTGCGTATTGGTATAAATAATATATAAGTAGTAGTTTATGTGATTTAAATTTGGGACACTGCCACTATTAGTTAATATATTTTCAATTACGCTACAACTTATTTGTTATTGTATTTTAGATCCAAATATAATAGTAAAATGTTATTCTTATCTCAAATTATTTTCAAAACCTAACGATTAAACTCAATTACAGGATATCCTTGTCTAGTAAGACATGTCGAGAGATATTCATTGAGCAGTATAAACATCGAATGCATTATATCATTTGATGAAACACGTCTGAACTCTTAATGAAACTTTATTAGTTAGATATTTTCATATTTAATAATTATTTAACTTAATTCTAATATTTAATTTAATTTTTTTATAGAGGACATCCCTACGTAGAATTCCTGGATCCGCCACTGACTGCAATACGATGTGGCGATGGGTGGCCAATGGCGGTGATCGTTGAAATTATTTGAGCCGGTGGGGAGAGATTCATAATTGGGATTTTCAGAGGAGAAGAAAAGTAAATTGAGAAAAGGAATCATGAACGGGGAATTTTTTGTTTTTTTAGTGTCAATTTGTTTTTATTATATGTTTATTATCTAATCAAACCAAAACCAATGATTTAGAATCAATCCATCTAATTGAACCGGACACGTATAATGCCGGCACGGGTGCGGTGACGGCACTATAGAATTTCCGCACATTAATTCTCTTTTGGACACATCACCAAGAGACATTGCAGAGAGATGATTGCCATCTCATCCTCTACCAATTAACAACGAAGAAACAAATTAATTAGGGCGCAAGCCGCCGTTAGGTCTCAGAGAGCTGCTGCTCGAAATCGATTAGAAATTCGAGCTCAGAAATCAATGGTAAGCTAAAATGTCAAAGCCAATTTCTTGTAGATTCAAATTCGAGATTTTAAAATTTAATTGAATGGGTTCTTTTTCCAGGAGAGATTCGACGAGATGAGAAGATTTGATGAGACAAGAAGTTCAGCTTCAGTTCACCACAGTCGGAGGCTCTCTGCTCCTTTCGACAGCGGAATAATAATCGACGCCGCCAGCAATCTCGCTGTCGCCGATGAAACGCCGAAGAATGTGGAGATGGATACAGGGAGCAGGCCTAGGTCACGATCTCGACAATGTACTACAAACACGCCTTTCTCTGTTCCCGATTTCGGCGACGACCCGCCGTCGCCGGTGGTTGTGCAGAATAAGGTAGACAACCTCTTTCTCCAGGGATCGAATTTCACGAATCTGTTGAACAGCTGTGAGTCTGTAAACAACCTATAAACAGGGAAGAGTTGAAATTGCGGGAGGAGGAAGCTGCACAGATGGTGAGGGAAAGCAAGGCGGAGGAGGACAAACGAGATCTGAATTTTTTTGTTCCGGCAGGCAGATGGGCGCTGAAGGTCTAGTCGTGAGGAGGTTGGAGTTGGAGCGCTCTTCTCGCGGTTAGTCGACAGCGAAGCAGGAAGTGAGAGAAGAGGAACCTGTTTTTTCATCGCCGCCGTTGCGGTTATAGTGATGGATTACGCTCCGACGGAGGATGGGGTTAGACGGAGTGGAGGTGTTCGAGGTGGAGAATGGGGGATGGTTTTCCATTGGAGGCGAAACACAGCGGCGGAAGAGCGGGGGGCGGAGGAAGACGCGTGTGATAAATAATTTGATTTGTCTTTTATTATTTAATTGTAATTTTACTATGTTGCCCTTGTTGTTACCGTAACAACAAATAGGCTGTTGTTATAGTATCTGCACCCAGTAATAAGGCCCAAGTTTCCTTTGGGTCCCAATTCCAATAGGACCCCCACGCTTCATTAGCCCAGACTGCTCCTGAAAGAATACCGATGGTTAAAAAGAGAAATCCGATACCAATAATACGAAAACCCCAATGATCTAATTGTTGAATCAATTGAACTTTGTAATAATTCCTAGAATAAAGAAAAGAAAAAGAAGTATTTCTTAAAACATTTCTTTTTTTCGTGATGTATGGCGTTCCACCAATGGAAAATGAATTCAAGTTTGCTCTTTTATCATTATCAATAATTCTTATAACTTTTCGAAATGTAATTACTATAAGCGCTACGGATAATAATGATCCACATAAAAGAGCGGCATAGCCCAATACCATCATACTTACGTGCATCATCAACCACTGGGATTGAAGGGCAGGGACTAAGATGCCGGATTGGTGCATATTAGTTAAAAGACCCGAAGTAGCAAATCCTTGTGTAAAAAAAGTACTTGGCGCTGTTATTGGGCTTAAATAATTTTGTTTTTTTAAATATGGAACCATATGAATAATGGATAAGATCCATGAAAGAAAGATTAATGATTCATAGAAATTACTTAATGGTAAATGTCCCGAATAAATCCAACGAGTAACTAATAATCCTGTTATACAGAAAAAACTAGTTATCATTCCTTTTTCTGACGAATCATATAGTTCTACGAATTCATCGACTAATAAGGTTATCAAATGAATTGTAATTCCAAGTGAAACAACTGAAAAGGATATATGAATTAATATATGTTCTAAAGTCGAAAATATCATAAAAATTTTAATTCTCAAAAAAGGGAGAGCTATAGAATTGAATTCATTATAGTATAGGACTTGTTGGATGTTTTTGAAAATTAAAAAATCTTATGCCGCTACTCGAACTGTACCATCACCGATTTCGAGTGATTTTTTGGAATGGCCATTTTGGTTGAATTTTTGAGGCTACAGATCACGGATTCGGTCTGAGCCGAACTGGGACTATTCTCAATCGATGATGATGTCAATTAATTGCCGATTTGGAAAAAAAATCGGGGGCATTTTCATTGTTTTTCGTTCGATTTTTTTGAAAGGCTATTATCCTTGGATTTTGAAGGCTACAGATCAAGGATTCAGCGTGAGGCTATCCTCCATCGACGATTAAGTCTATTAAGCACCGATTTGAGCGTATTTGTTCCGGGTCCATTTTTTGCAGATTCCAAAGGCGAACCATCACCGATTTCGGGCGATTATTTGGAATGCCCATTTTGGTTGGATTTTGGAGGCTATGAATCACGGATTAGATCTGAGGCGAACTAGGGCTATTCTCCAGTGATGATGAAGTCAATTAATCTCCTTTTTGGACGCAATTTTTTCCGTGGCATTTTCGTAGTTTTTCGTGACTTTTTTTGCGAGAGACCATTTTCCGTGGATTCGGCGTGTGGCTATCCTTCACCGATTTCGGGCGATTTTTTGAAATGACCATTTTGGTTGGATTTTGGAGACTTCGGATCACGGATTCAGTTTAAGGCGAGCTGGGGCTATTCTCCAGCGATGATAAAGTCAATTAATCACCGATTTTAGCAAAAACTTTTTCGGAGACTTTTTCGTAATTTTTCGCTCGTTTTTTTCAGTTACTACACAAGACAATTGATTCCTCAATTTTGACAAATACCACACAACCAATTAATGAATTATTTGTGCACAAATATCACACGACAACAAATCATCATCCAAACGACCCATAAGCTTCCGTTTAGTAACCCTAGTTAACAGGCTAGCTGACCCGTCCCGTCCGGGCGTCCCCATTTTCGCAGCTGGTTGCAGTACTGTCTGGGTTGACATCAACATCGATCACATGCGATGCCTGCAGTGCAGTGCAGAGTGCAGCTCCCCTGTTGGGCGCGCCCGTAAGATGGTGGCTCTATACGGTGCTCTAATCTGCCAAACACCGCACGCCGTTTGTTCTTCCCTGTTACACATTCATTCATTTTCGTAGAAGACAACAGAAGAGAGGGTGCAGCGCCTCACTTAATTGGTCATACGGCTTCCAAGTTGTGTGTTCTTCCGACTCATCTGAGCTCATTCTAGTTGACCTTTTCCCCCCTCCCGGCCACCTGGATCTGTATGTATACGTAGCCTTATCTTGATAGTCTGAACCGTACGTTTTGGGATGGGTCAAATGTTCGCCGCGCTTTGGGCTGGGAGAAATGGGTCGAGGATGGCTGCATCTGCTAGTGGGTCCACAGAGGAGGCTGAGTTTGGGCCAAAGCCCACATAAAGACGGATGTGAAACTGTTCATCACACAACGCTACAAGAAGGCATGTGGAGGAGCGATTCATGCAGAGATTGGTCAGCTTCTTCATGATGAGAACTCGTCTTACTCGGTCTGTTTCATGCTCATGTCACGCCGTCTGTTAAATGAGTTCTATTTCATTAACTGCTTACACGGTCAATCAACGATGTAAGGAGTGTTTCATCTCCGTCTTGTATCTACTTATGTATGTCCGCGTTGCAGAATTCGTGAATTGAATTGTGCGGTCAAATCCTTTTTCCTTTGTAGATTTCAGTTTTGGAAGTGGGATTTCTTGTGTTATAATAATTTGATCTATTTTTTTTTTATAACGAGGAACACCCTCCACGGTCACCACATTTTGTGGTTCCGTAGTCGGGCTAAACCCCGGGACCTCCGCCGGCGGTCCGGGTGATAGCGGGATGCCTCCGGAAACACCATGGTGACGGTGAGGATCGAACCTGGGACCTTATGGTCACCAGTCCTCCTCCCTTACCACCAGGCTATGTGACCTTTGGCATAATAATTTGACCTAGCTATTAGCGCGGCTAGACCAGTAGAACCATCAAATCATTTATAATAGTAGTTTAGTTCATTTGCTTGGACGTTTAGGGAAGGACCAATGATTTTTAACAATTTGAATGGTTCACTGGTTCACTATTTTAACCACAAAAAATTTAAATAAAAAATATTTTAATATAAGCTAAGACCTCCCACATGAAGTACTAATTTTATTTCTTCTTTTTCCAGCCTTCTTATCGGCTTTATGTGATCCAATAAGGATCGCCACCCTAATCAATAACTTGAAATTAATAAAAAAAGGGGTTAATATATTTGTATGGCCCGAACTTTTCAAAAATTAAACATCCCGACCAATCTTTTCGATCTATAACTTCGGTTCCCATTCGGTTCATACAGATGGGTGGGTGTGGGTCAATTTTTCATCACCCACTGTAACAATGGATGGGTGGATTTTGCCCAAAAATCCACCCAATCCACTCATTGCCCATCCCTAGTTATACACATAAAAGACATACTTAAATCCATTACATATATAACCTCAACTTAAATCCATCACATATTTAAATCCATTACATAACATCAACTTAAATCCAATATAGTAAAAATTCAACGACACGTAAATCCAACTCACTTAGATCCATCACACTCAATCTTCAAAGATAAAATCATTAATCTCTATCTCCATTACATCAACAAAATTCAACTACGATTTTAGTACAACACTACAACATATCATACCACTAACTTTCTACTATAACTTCCTATACGGTTTCTTATTCATTGATAATGAGTTAATAACAACCTGGTGTATTTAGGGGTCGTTTGCTTCAAGGATTTAGACGTGGGATTTGGTTCTCAAATCCCACACATGAAGGATTTGTCCAAAAGCCATTGTTTGTTGAGCCAAAATGGAGGGTACCAAATCCGTGGGGTCCACTGATTTGGGGCTCCAAATCCGTGGGCCCCACGGATTTGTAAATCCCACCTTATACCCTGGGATTTGGAGACAAACTGAAAAACCATCAAATCCATGATAAAAATAGCTCAACAAACAAAAGATTTCCTCAAATCCATAATGCCCAAAATCCCTAATAAATCCCAAGGTTTTTAATTAGCAAATCCACGACAAAACCCTCGTTATAAAATCCTTGAAGCAAACCACCCCTTAACTTAATCTTGGATTCAAAACTAACTTCCAATATTCATTTACTTTATTTACATAAGGAATCCCTTTAAAAAGGTTAGCGGGGAATTGGAGAAATATAGATATCCGAGAGTGTTAACTCTCGACTATGAAGTAATAGGTAATAAATGGATTCTGAACCTCGCCCGCGTTAATCTTCAAAATTCTTGTGGACGTTTGTGAGAGAATGCGACCTGGCTATCGGAGTTTTCAACGGCAAACCAGTTCTCAAACCCCACCTTCACATGGACTAAGGGTGATACTAATGCGAGTTACAAAGCTAGCCGCCTAGATCGATCCTGCTGCATCACGGAATGGAACTTGTCTTTCCCCAACACTAATGGTCACCATCTAGCCAAGCTTCACTAAGACCGTGGTGCATCATCATATAAATGACCACCCTCCTCATCTGATTAATTGCTTCTTACATGATCTTAGTCTTCAAAAAATTTGTAACTCGAATGATGTGAGCCATCTCCACATGCTTGATGGGGTGACTGTGGATTCTGGTGGGAAATGGAGTGGTGTGATGTCTCATCACCATTGACAGCCTCTTCTCCTTTCTCGTCGTCTTCATTGTCAAAGTCCTCTTCCTCTAATTTCTCAAGTTGTTCTACATCTTCCCCATTATTCACCCTTGCCTTCACCTTCCTTTTTCTCATCTCTCCATATGCTCATAGATTAGCCCTAGCTTCGTGGTATTTTTATCTGAAGCCATGACATCATGAGAGTCATACACATGGTAGACCTAACGTGCAACGAATGCAGCTGCACGAACCTCGTAGTGTGCTGATAGTAACGCATCTCCATGCGCAATCTAATTTGGGTTATTCTCGCCTACCAATTTGTCTCAAGAATCATGCGACTGTGGGATTAGGGTTCGTCGAGTTCGCATCGAAATTCTGGGTTTCACGTCGATATTCTGGGTTCCGTGTCGGTATTTTGGGTTGGTTGGGTTTGATACATCGCTGGGTTTGATAGTGGATTAGGGTTCACTAGGTTCGCCAGTGTCGTGTGAAATCGGGCAATGGGTGCGACCATTGAGGCGTCTATTCGCAGGTTGGATGACGCATGGTTGCCTTTGTCGAAGCTGGAAAGGAGATGGAGGACTGGATCAGCGGGACGAGCTGGACCGGATGGAGAGGTGGATCAGTAGATGGGTGTGTTCATCGTTCGACTGTCGCCCGTCGATCGAGGGTTCGACTGCTAAGAGGGAGAGAATAAATTGGGTAAAAGTCAATCGAGATGGAAATTTGACAATCTATAAATTAGTAAAGTGACTTTTGATCTACTTTTTTCAATTGATGAATTAGAAACAGATTACTTGGCATGCCATCTTGACAAAAAAAAAATAGATCATGTCACCAACAATTGTTTTTCCAGTCAACAGTCATGATAGTACTGTTAATTTTATAGACGAAATAACTATATATGTGAATTTTTCAAAATCTGACTATTTCTCACAAAGCTATAATTTCAAAAATCCATCTCTTAGAGTAATGGGTATTTTTCTTGCAACTCAAATTGAGTTGTTGGGAACCTCTAATCTCGCTTATTTCTTTCAACTCGATTTTTTTTTCTTTCCTTTTTCATGCAAAAGCTCACTCTCAAAAGAATCGATACTAACAAGGTTTTAAAAAAATGGTTGGTTCAAATCTCACTATCAAGGTTTTGAAAAATATGTATCACCTAAATATAAGGATATAACTTGAAGACTATGTATGTGGAGATTATGTATGTCCCGAATACCGATCGTTATGGTTAAAACTCACGATTATAACAATCCGGTTGTACCTTAG